CCCCAAAACCCCAAAACCCCAAAACCCCTTGAAGTGAAGAGTGGATAGTACTAAATCAATGTCCTGAATCAGAAAAATATTAGGAATGAATTTTTGAATAATTATGTATATTTAACTATAATCAGGGGTCACTAGTTAAAGTGTTATGTAGCAGTCGCTAAGAAACTTAGCATTTTATTTATTAACAGTTCATTCTTCGCAGTCATTGAATAGCTCTGGGTTAGTCTTCTTTAATTGATCCCAGCGCCATTTGTAGACCTGGCATTCACTTAGTCCCAAATTGTCTGATAGCTTTTTTATGTATTCTCTGGACCAATCGGGATTCTTTTTGTATTCATTTTCTAAGATTTTCAATTAGTTCTTGTTTTTCCTCTGTCTCTTTTTTCTGTTATATTCGTCGCTTAAATCCTCCTTAGCCTTCTTTAACAGAGCGGCTACACATTCGTTTAGATCATCGTAATCCAGTACTTTGATCTTTCTGAGGTCAATATTAATAGTTTTACGGGATGTCTGATGCTGAACTGGTAGAGATGGAAGCGATGAAGAATTAGAATTCAAAATCTGAACAGATTCACACAATACTGGACTCTAGCATAAAGTGCTACCGTACATTTTGAGTGATTCAGAGGATTCATCGTTTTTGCTGGTGAGTGTGTAGGACTCTACTGAAAGTGTTGAGGAATCGGGTAAATGAGCAGAATTTCTGATCTATCCTTTTTCGTGACTAAAGGCCGCCATCTTTGTCACATTCTGATTAGTGATTTATTCCATAGAATGGGGGTTCAGGGAGAGTGCACTAATCAGGATTTAAGAGAACATTCGCTTCTAATTGAGATCTGCTTGGTGTTGTTAGTAGGACTGAGTTTAATTGAAGGGGGTGAAAGCTGAGTTAACGGATCTGATTGAATTCATCGATTCAGAGAGTGTTTACTAAAATATAGATTATTAATATTATGAAGTAAACTTGAAAGAATTTATATATACTCAAAATTAAAATGCTTAATTGATAAGAAATTATTCGTATAAAGAATTTAATCTTCTGAGCAGTGCATTCAATTGCATTCAAAATTTCAAATCTTCTTAATATCCAAAATTTTCAAGCATCATGGGGTTTTGGGGTTTTGGGGGCAAAGAGTTACTTTATTTGTT